TATGTATTCTGTGACCTTTTACTCTTTTTATTGATTATATTAGATGAAATACAAACTGACTTAACCATTTATTTAAAAAATATAAAGGTGATTTGTTTATTAATTGGTAAATATGGTGTGTATATATATGGATTTAGACCTCAAAATAAAGGAACGACAGAGGAAATTCGGACTAACACTCTCTTTTTTTTTTAACCCAGACAACCAGAATTTTTTTTGTTTATTTGAATCATCATAAAAATCCCTAGGTTTATTTGAATTATGAGAAAATTGACAATATTTAATATTTTATTTTTCAAGCTTTGAAATTTGGAGGTCATAGACTTGTGAAAATAACCCCCTACGGTATTACTGGGCCACATACAGTGTTTTAAAAGGAGAATGGAAGTCGTATTATAGTTTCGAACTGATTAAGAATACTTGTCGAATTGAAATATATAAAAGCTTTTTATATTTTATTGATTTGAGATCTTTTTTGGAGGGATTTAATTATGACATCGATTATTTCATGCAAATTTCAACATTTTAATTCAAGTAAAACAGTACCCCCTTTGGGGCCCCATATCTCCATAATATGCGGCACTTGCATATGCACCAACTACATATTTTAAAACCACAATACTTATGAACTGTAATTAATGTGGTTTCTGGAGATTCTCATATTTCAAACCTTCAGGAGCCAACATCCTTAAAGTATTAACTATCAAAAAATTATATTTCAGTGAGAGTATATAAATAAAACATTTTTAGTTTTATAGCGCATGCCATGTTTTTCCACTTTTTCTCTAAATTTAGGTGGTATCTTAATTTTTTTTAACTTCCAGTAGAGTCACAAATTGACACGATGTATATGAGGGTAAATAACTCCCCCGACTCCGTGCCTTTAATTAGAACTGGTGGAGCGCCGTCTGATCACTACGCTGTTTATTGTTTTCAAGAGCGCACCTGCTAATTACGGGAGGATAGAATCTTTATAGGGTTATTACTACAGTAAACAGGTCTCCTCTCTCTCTCTCTCTCTCTCTCTCTCAGATAAGCAGAAAAATATGGTTTATTATTTTAAAATGATTACCTGTGGAATCACTTGTACCAAGTAAGTACACGTATAACTGAAAGAAAATTGACAAAATGATATCCTAAAAAGTGTTTCCTTACTCGGAAATCCTTATTTTGTCGGGAAGGAGGGGATGAGGAATAATTAATGATACATTATACAGCCAATAGTGCCGTGGGAGGGGGTGGGGATGGAATAATGATAAATTATACAGCGAATAGTGCGATGGGGATGGGAGGGGATCAAGCAGCCTTTTAATAAACAGGTTCAATTGTAAAATAAAAAGGGTATTCATAAGTATATGACTGAGGATAAATGTATAAATATACCACATACTTTATTTTGAAAATTTATGTAATTTGAAGGTGAAAATTGAAATAAACATTGAACTTTATTGCATATACATTTTTTCAATATTTCATTATATTCTTACTTTAATTCAGGAAGCCTCGGCGCCGATTACCCGTACTGCCCGAGCCCAGTACAGAAGTACGCATTTGAATGTTTCACCGACTACAACACTCAGATGTTAAACATGAAGAAGAGCAGAGACTCCCTATTGTCCGGGGTGGACGTAGAAATACTGCGGGCTTTCTGCAGGTAAAAGTAGGAACCGAATTTTTTTTCAATTTTTGTCATTTTTTTTTTTATCAGCTAAGGTACATTACTCTATCAGATGAAAATATTCAAAGAAGGCTTTATTTTTCAAAACTCATTTGAAATGACCTTCTAATCATAAATCTCAACTTTCAAATCTCAAATCTTCACTTTTACTTAAAAAAAAAAGATTGAAAGTGCATGTTTTTCAAATAGGAACGAAAAACATGATAAATACTGAATAACTCCTTCTTCTAATGCTCGAAACATTTGCCACATCTGTCAACAAACTTTGATATAGCTACTATACCACGTAATCTTCAAACGAAAAAAAATGGCTTTATATAAACATTTGAATTTCAGTATATCCTATCAGATATATGTACTTTTGACGTATTGGAATGTGATATGTTGTAGTTCCTACAATACGGCCATAGCCTGTATCAGAAACATTAAGGAAGTATGTCCCACGTCCCTCCACCGGAAGATCGAGGCGACACAGATGAACCTAGAGGGCGCCCATTCCGAGCTCTCGGAACTCTGCTCGGACGACAGTATTTACGAACGTAAGACGCACATCTTGTACCTAAGCACGAAATTTTTTCGCTATTTTTATGGGTTCAAGCGCATGTGTTGTACATCATATGGCCTTAACTTCACCCCGAGGTTTATTTCTCCCAATAAAATCATCATCTTGTCGAACATTGAAACAATGGTACAACGATGATAAGATCAATCAAACAATTGATTCCGACAATTCTTTATGTATCTATGTTAAATTTATATTGTCTTAACCTAAACCGCTTTCTCTGAAGATAATGGGTACATGAATGTCATTAAATAAATTCCTACTGAATAATGTTCATTAGAAACTTACAAAAAACAGCTAAGATGAATATATGACGGGGGTACATGTATGTAACCTTTGGACATTTTGCTATGTTTTGAGGAACTTTTTTCAAGGGGAGGGGGATGTAATGCTCAATCCTTACCAAATTAAAGTACACTGTATTTGTAAATTTTGCAAAATTACATGGAAGTGAAATAAAATATTATATCGTAGTGGATGTGAGAATCTTTACCCAACCATACTGAAATACGAACAATAACATTTTCCGTACTTAATTCAAATTGTAAGAGAATTTATTTCAAAGATTGAAAAGAATAAATGATGAATACCCTATAAATAGAATAGTACGTTATATAAATACAAAAAGAGATATCTCGACTGCAACATGTCAAATGTGCTTTTTTTTTTTTTTTAGAAATTGATTGCCTTTATGTTATTCTAACTGATCACATACTTCAAAAGCAAGCAAAAATGTTAAGAAAATGACCATTTTAATTTCATCATTGGACATTAAGATATATCTTAATTTTTCGATCCTAAAGTAATTATTGAAAATTCTTGCTCTCCTCGCACGTACAGTAGTTAACCAGTAATCCTGTCCCATTTTAGGTTACGCCCGCTATATGACTTGTTTCCAGGAATTCGGGCCACACTCCGAGAGCTGCTTCAAGAGGGAGATGAACTCACAACTTCGACTGATGCAGTGGATCAGCGAGGACGATATATATCAGTTATGTAGGTAAGATCTTGAAGTACCTTAAAATTGTTATTTCATTAAGCATTTTTTTAATTTATACTTGTGCACATTAACCCATTGATAGCATCTGCTCAAATCTTTACATCATATTTATTAAATGATTGCCATCTACTAGTATATCAATTTTAAACCCTTCTTAATTATCCGGTAGCGATCTAGCCCAAACCTTGGATTGCATTACCTCCACAATAACCATCGAGTGTGGACCGGAAGCTGCGCAACTTGTACCCGTTCTTGTAAAGCCCATGGTAAAGAAAAGCTCAGAGTGTGACGTAATATCTACAACAATATCAGAAGAACCCCAGACCACAGCTAAACGATGGAGGCCTTACAGACAGGTAGCTACGTGTACCGCTTGATCGTCTCCATTATCACTAATTTAGCTGGTGTATTATCCTCGCTTGTCAATTTGTAGATGGTGTTAATATATCAATTCTATAGCCGATTAGATTACACAAGAAAAATTAGTTAATCTGAAATAAATGAAATGCAAATAAAGACACGTATTTTGCTATGGAAAATTGATCAAATAATATATATCTTAAATTAAAAAAAGAACTGAATATCTAGCTTTTTCAGTAAACTGTATTGCTTACATGTAACACTTTTCATTTTAAGTCGTACGTGCTTCTTAAAATTCCTGACAATCTGACTAGAGATCTAGACCAGAATTTCATGCTTTCACTGTAAATGTTCACCCATTATAAACACACTGAATTGTCGACGGATTTTTATATTCCCAGTCATGACTAGGAGCATATAGAGGATGTGACCGGTTGGCAGGGGATGCTCACTCTTCCATAGCACCTGATCCCACTTCTGATTTTTTGTGGAGGTCTATGTTTGCTCTGCTTCAATTTTGTATTGTTTAATGGGTCCATTTATTTATTTATCTCTCATAAAACAGACCATATAAATAACGAAGTGCTCAATAATATGTATTCAAAAAAATATTTTAAAATATCTGACTATTCGTATGTGATCCCCTTGCTCTCCCGATACACATATGTTTTGATTTCTGTGATCTTCAAGTCATAGTTCTGGATTTTGTTACCTAGCAAAATCGTCAATTTCACTTAAATGCGTTTTTATCATCTATTATTTTCCAAAAATAGGTTTAAAAATACGTACGCTTTGTAAAATGTATTGATTTAAACCTTTCAACAGGGCATTAAAATCTTTATGGAGATAAGAATTAGCACAAGTATTTCTTTGATTTGATATTCAGTGTATTTTACATTTTAATAATCATCTATTAGACTAAGTGTATGTCATACTGAAAAAAGCAAAAGTATTGTTATTTTGCAACTGTCAATTTACCCACAAATGGATCAAATGATACTTGATTTGGTTTTTTTTTATTTACAGAAAACTAGCACCCCTATATCCAGCTTAGTAACTTCGCACGAAAAGGATAAATCATTGCACAGTCACGTGATATATGCGAAAACTCAAGCAAAAATAAAGCCTCATCTCTCAAATGTTGTGAAATAGCAATGTGTTTGACGTTTGTTCCCTACAATACTTAAAACTTTACCCCCTTCTTTGGGATTGAAGTGTGAAAAGGTAAACAACGTACCTATCATTAAAACTCCCATTACCCGTAGACAGGCGCTCACCTGACATTTATTTATTATCATTCTTCATTTTGTTTTAGTTCTTGTTCAAGATGTTTCAATTTAATATAATCACACGATTTGTTAACTGTTAACTTTAAATCACATGTAAGCAATATGTATATTTTGTATATTCTACACTTGCAGTCTGTGATACACAAACACATTCCAGCTTCCATAGGTAGAACAATTTAGTTAATTAACAATCTGTAGCTACAGAACTATTTAGCTGTTAATTAACAATCTGTAGCTACAGAACTATTTAGCTGTTAATTAACAATCTGTAGCTACAGAACTATTTATCTGTTAATTAACAATCTGTAGTTACAGAACAATTTATCTGTTAATTAACAATCTGTAGCTACAGAACTATTTAGCTGTTAATTAACAATCTGTAGCTACAGAACTATTTAGCTGTTGATTAACAATCTGTAGCTACAGAACTATTTAGCTGTTAATTAACAACCTGTAGCTACAGAACTATTTAGCTGTTAATTAACAATCTGTAGCTACAGAACTATTTAGTTATTAATGAACGGCCAAGGAGAACAACAACTTGTAAATTGTCCCTCACACTCGGAATAGAGAACAATGTAATCAAAATGACAAGCCATGATTAAAAGATTATGATGTATAGTGGAAAAGATGTTCTTGTAAACGAATTAATATTTTTTGTTTTAAATAAGTGATTTATGCTACTAACAATAAAGTCTAATGATCCAATGTACCTATAGTACAGTAAAACTTGTCTAACCTAAACATTGTTAATTATGACGCCATGTTTAATTTTATGTACTCTCAAATGGGTCCGGATTAAAGGTTATATTGTCCTCAGATTGTGTTTTTACATGTTACAAGATAAGTCTTTAGTAGTAAATTGTTAAAGAATTTGGAGCTTGAATACATGAACTGTTCCTTAATTGTTTAATTGAACTTAAAGCTTGAATACCGTTCCTTAAAACTTTACTTAAGGTAGAACCTATGTCGGAGAAGTCTTTGTCACAAGATTTTCAAACTTTTCATAATGATAAATTAGCACTTGCTTATCAATCAGTTAAAAGCACATGACATGTTTCCTTGTTATTAAATGTAGTGCAGCCAGTTCAACATGGAATGATAAATACATACTGTGACTTCACAATTTCAGTCATTTTAGGGGTACTTGTCATGCAAAGAAGACAAAAAAATCACAAAATTACTTCTTTAAACATTGTTGTTTTTATTGTTTATGAATTGAACAGTATTAAACAAAATTTCCCGAGAATAAATTCTTTTTTATTCAATTGACATAAAAGATAAGTCCACATTTTCAAAACTATAGGCAAATGAACTCTATTTATTTTCAGTCAATTTTCCACCCTACATTTGTAAATATTTTTCAGAAGTCTTTGTCACAATGTTCTCAATCTTTAATATGATAAAGAACATACCCAAATGATTACAAAAAGTGATTAAAATTTATACCTTTCCCCACTAACTAATGAGAGATAGGCTATTTACCGATGCTGATACTCCTGACTTTTTGCACTTGCACGGATTTTATTATTAAATGACTGTTTGGGGTTACTTTCGGATTAAAAAGGTTTATAAAAAAGATTGTACCCTTAATTCAAAAGATCATATTTAATAGAAAAATTGTAACAAAACTCCAAGAATATGAATAAGTAACAAATAATTATGAAAAGGAATGCACATCATTTCATGATAGATATCACAAAATGTGCACACAATCTACAACACATACATCTTTGACTTAGACGTAATTTCATCACACAATATAGTCTTAACTTTGTCAACTTAATTAAGGTCAAGATCTATTAAATGAAAGGTGCCTACAGGTTTCTCTAATTCAAGAAATATATTTTCATTAAGCATTATATTAAAATAATATATAAATCGAATTAAGATTAATCGGCATGATTTTAAATTGAATTCTGTGAATTTCAAAATGCTGTATTTTCTACCATTTCTATACTGAAGCTGTAAAGTACGGGAAATGACATTGAATTAATTATGACGTCATAATGGATCTAGCACAGGCTAAACACATTCACTAGTTATGATGTCATACAACGTAGGTTCTACGTTAATTGTGTTTTTGACTTTTGAGCTTCAGTACTGTTCGTTATTTCCTTATATTTCATAATCTCAAATACTAGTAAATGTTATTTCCGAGTTTTATTTGAAATATGTTTTGAAATGTTAAAGTATCCGCTATGTTAGAGTCTCAAAAAGATTTAAACAATTTTCCCAATAAGGGCATGTATAAGATGTTTTAATTAATTATGATATACATGTAAATTAGAGATATATAAATACTTAAAGAATTTCGAAATACGACTTTTTGATTTTGTTACTTAGAAAATAACATTTGTTTCTATTTTTCAACATAATTTTGAAATTTGATTATGATTTCAAACGACTTTTGAAATACATTTTTGTAGGACGAAATTAATAAGATATATTCTTCGATGCTAATCAATGCTGATTAGCTTTTCAGAATATATCTTTGCAAGAAATAAAAAAGTAGATATATAATCTAATCTTATATACTACACAATATATATTCAAGCCATTTTTTCACCACATTACCGTTAATTGACAATTCTACAAGAAATAGTGGGAGAAGTAATATAATCAATAGTAAAAATAGACGCCCCCTCTGATATTACGTACATGTCACTTTTGATTTTACGCCTTCAGATGATGGTGCAGTTCCAAAAGATTTCTATATAACATTTTGCTTAATATATATGGGTATGTAAAATAAATTTCACTTTTTGTTGGCATGCGCGGATCAACATAATTTTCAGTTAAGGCGTGATACGACTCTTTGGATCTAGTTTCTGTAATAAGGATAATGATTATCTCGCTTTAAATAAAAAAAGTTTTATACAGTCTGATTCATCCGTTTTACATTTGAGTATTGGACGGATAATAGCGTCATTTGCTACATCTATTTTCATAATAAATATGCTTAAAAGTGATGACTTTAACATCGTCAAATTTCTTTATTTGTGTATATATATACCCTTTCATCCGTGTATATTTTATATTTCCTAAATCATTTGAAAATGAAACACATGCTTTATGTAGGGATTTTTTTAAAGGTACAATATCATGACAAGTCGATGTACCGGTAATCAGAATGTAAACAGGTTTGTTAAAGTCACCATTTCGCAAATTCTACGATCAGTTGCGCTCCGTTATTAGCAGACTTATTTTTATATTCATATGAGGCAGAATTTATTCAAAATCTTATCCGTGAAAGGAAGAAAACACTTGCTGTAGCCTTCAACTCGACATTTAGATATATCGACGACGTATTGTCAATTAATAATGGTAATTTACATTCCTACGTCGATACGATATATCCTGGTGAGCTTGAGATAAAAGATATTACAGAGTCCGACACTTCTGTTTCATACTTGGATATTTTACTTGAAAGAGACACTAATGGTAATCTAACAAGAAAACTATATATGATAAACGTGATGATTTAGCTCTTCTATCGCCAACTTCCCTTACTTATGCAGCAATATACTTTCATCACCTGCATACGGAGTATATATATCTCAGTTGATTCGATACGCAAGGGCATGCTCTACGTATGAACAATTTCTAAAACGAGGTAAATTATTGACAAGCAAGTTGATGAAACAAGAATATCAGCAGTCTCGTTTGAAGTCATCATTTCGTAAGTTCTATGGTCGATACAATGACCCTGTCAGCAAATTACAATTTATCATTGAGTCAAATGCTGACTGACTTTTTTCATACCAATTGTTAGTGCATTATTTATACACTGAATTGATGACGGACTTTTTACGTTATTTCTTGATCATGACAAGGAGCACACGGCGGGTGTGACCGGTCGGCAGGGGATGCTCACTCCTCCATGGCACCTGATCCCACCTCTGATGTTTCGGAGGTCCGTGTTTGCTCTGCTCTTATTTTGTATATTGTTTAATGGACGTTGAGATTGAATTCTGTTCGTTATCTCCATATCCTTCTATGACCTTGTAAGTAACAATATTCAATACTCTGACATTCTAAGTATATATTATCTTTATTGAGGCTAATTTCGAGGTCGTTTTTTATACCGATTGTAAGGCCATTATTTACACACTGAACTGTGTATTTTTTGCCTATGATTTTGTGTATTGAATGAGCTAGGATATATATCTGGTTTTACTATCTTAGCTTTAACTATTTTGTAACGAGTTTTCCCATTGTTTTAAGAAATTAATTTAATTTTTGAAGATTCTTGAGGTTATGAAATACGACGCTGCACACTGGCATTTTTAATGACGCTTCACGCCGGCATTTGTAATGACTAAGCGCTTCATGATAAATTTGCAGGCGTGAAGCGTTGTAGTTCATATACCTCATGAATCTTCAAAATTAAACTTAATTCTTATATTTACATTTTTTCTGATGACTTGTCATAAATTCACGCCTTTCAACTGTCATTTTTAAAGCAAATCAATGTGCACTTTATTTTTTGACGTCAAGAGCGGTACATGTATTATGACGTAACAATGTAGATATTCATGATTATTCGTGGTACATACGTAATGTTGTTCCTGAGAAAATGAACTGCATTTTTTATAGTAAAGAATCACAGAGGAAATTTATTGGAAATTTAAATATATACTGTATATTTGAATAAATTTTATGAATCCAAAAAATAAATTATATTTTGTTTTATTACATACCTTTCTATTACATTTTGCGTTGTCTTCAGCGCAAAAATTAAATAACGCAAAATGTAACATTGAAAAGGAAAGTTATCACATTTTTTGTTGATCTCGACGCAAAATGTAATAACGCAAAGTGCAATCATCTAATAATCGTTGTCTTATATTTTGCGTTGTTACATTTTGCGTTGAACTCAATGCAAACTGTAATGACGCAAAATGTAATAACCCCAGTTTATTACATTTTGTGTTGTTATTATATTTTGCGTTGTAACAATACTTCTTTTCACTGTAATAAGAAATTGCACAGTTCACCCCTACTAATGTGTTCGGAACCTTTTATTTTTCGGTGTTCCGCAAATTATAAAACCCCGATGAGTTCAGAGTAGCTCTGGCAGTGGCTCTGGCGAGAGTTAGCGAGACTTCAGCGAGGTAGGGTAAATTATTCACGGAAATGTGGCTAGGAAGTGACTAGCACGTGGAGGCATGGTAAACAGAAAAGTTATGTTGCGTTTCAGTTTTCACCACCCTAGAATGAGCTGATAATGTCTGCAGAAATGTACTTCAATCAATCGATCTCTTTTACATTCATTCAAACTTAAATAAGTATTCTCTATGATACAATTTTCTGTAGTCATGAATTAAAATTTCTTTTTGGACAAATATTTTTGCATGGGAACCGGGACTATATTTTTTGGCGTCAGATTAGCAAATGAGGCACTAACATGACTTGGACTGACGAATCAGCTGTATGAGAATTGCATTATGTGTTACTACGAACACTACAGGAATTTTACGCTTGAAAAAAGGAAAATCTTATGGTAAACTAAAAGCATTTTTGAAAATATTATTTTCATGCTCATAATGACAAAAAATTCATTTGTTAAATAAACAGCGGAAGTCTAGGTTTATGAAAGTCATACCCTTGTTACTGCAAAAGCGATTTGCGTCTGTATTAATTCCTCTGTTGTACTATCGGTGAATACAATTGCCAGGCGAATTCCCTGGCCGAACACGTGATCAAGAACGTAAACAAAGTTTTGTCCATTTAAATGCATAAGAGATGCTGCTCGTTTTCCTTACCCTTGAAGTGCTGGTGTTCTGATATAGACACAAACTAGATTTTATTAATTAAACATTTTTTCCATTTAACAATAAATTAAAAACGCCCGTAACATCTTTCATAGTTTCTTATCTTTGTATTTTGTTCGTAAGAACATTTTTTTTTATTTTTTAGTCCATTAACATGATCGTAGATTGACTACGTGTTCGAAGTAAAATGTAAACATGTATTTGGCGTAAACATTGCTTTTCATTCATTGGTCAGTTGCTCGTGGTAAGATCCTCTGTGCGCATTTATAACAATTATAGCCATATAACACCCCTACTAATGTTATTGTGATTTAAATTCAAGACACGTGGTTTAGATTTACCTATTCAAAGGTTATAGGGTAGATCCGGTTTTATAAATAAAATTGGCAGTAAACAGGAAATTGCTATAGTCTGTTTCTTCTGAAACATGTCCTGTGAAAAATGTGTGTTTCCACACCTTTCTGAAAGACTTTCATGATTTTTAACAGGAATGGGTGGCTTAAGGTGGGGGGATAAATAACAATTAATACATCTTATACTTAACTGCAAAAATTACAGCTTACTAGCGACCGATACGCTGGTAAAAAAATGTGTAATATCATCTACACTCACAAACCTTTGTTTGCCTTATATGGCTATTGCTATTAATGCGCACAGAGGATCTTACCACGAGCAACGCCAAATACATGTTTACATGTTACTTCGAACACGTGGTTCAGGTCAATCTATGATCATATCAATGGAGTGCAAAGTAAAAAAAAAATGTTCCTATGAAACATTAGAAACTATTAATAATATCACTGGCGTTTTAATTTGTTAATAACTATAGAGAAAAATGTGCTTAATAAAACGTATACGTAGTTCGTGTCAAGTTCAGAACACCAGCAATTCAAGGATAAGGAAAACGAGCAGCTTCTCCTATGCGTTTAAATGGACAAAACATTTTTTTTACATAACTATACATGTATACTCGTGATCACGTGTGTTGGCAAGGGAATCCACCTGGCAATTGTATTCACCGATAGTACAATAAAGAAATTTATCAAGCGTAAAATTCCTGTAGTATTCGTATAGTAACCCATAATGCAATTCTCATTCATCTGATTTGTCAGTTAAAGTCACATTGGTGCCCCATTTGCTAATCTGACGCCAAAAAATATAGTCCCGGTTCCCATGCAAAATATTTGTCTAAAAAGAAATTCTAATTCATGACAGCAGAAAATTGTATCATAGAAAAAACTTTAAAATAATTTAAACTTGAATGAATTCAAGAAAGATCGATTGAAGTACATTTCTAGAGAATGATATTATAGGGTGGTGAAAACTAAAACACAACATAATTTTTCTGTTTACCATGTCTCCACGTGCTAGTCACTTCCTAGCCACATTTCCGTGAATAATTTACTCTATCTCGCTGAAGTCTCGCTAGCTCTCGCCAGAGCCAATGTCAGAGCTACTCTGAACTCATCGGGTTTTATAATATGCAGAACACCGACAAATAAAAGGTTCCGAACACATTAGTAGGGGTGTATAAGGCAAACAAAGGTTTGTCAGTGTTGATGATAATGCACATTTTTTACCAGCGATTTGGTCACTAGTGAGCTCAAATTTTCGCCGAAAAGTATAAGATATATTGTTATTTTAATACCCCCTCCTTTAGTCACCCTTTTTCTGTTGAAAATCGTGAAAGTCTTTCAGAAAGGTCTATAAACATTTATTACAGGACATGTATTCAAAAGAAACAGGCTATAGCAATATCATGTTTACTGCCAATTTTATTTATAAAACCGGTTCTACCCTATAACCTTTGAATAGATCAACCTAAACCATGTGTCTTGAATTTAAATCACAATAACATTAGTAGGGGTGCAGTTGTATATCGAGTTTGTTCATGTTAATGGACCAGTCCGTTTGGGGGGTTTAATTATAGACATAAGTCATACTCCACTGTACGCAGTAGATTTTTCTTAAATCAATGTGTCCGCCAAATTTTCTAATGACACTCGTATTTTATGTATTTCCTGATATTTTTAAGTAATAAGCGACAAAAATCAACATGTTCTGTAGTCCTGAATGTGATTGCGAGGTCAATTCTGCAAATTTATTAATTAAATTATGACCATTCATGTCATTTAACAGAAGATGAATTGTCCAATAATAAAAATTTACCAAAATTAATCACATTCAATGTACAAATTGATCAAGTTTGACAAAGGACAAATAAACCATAACTTTTTATTCTCTGCAGTCTGTTATTTCTTTATTCATAGAATGTGTTAAGACTATAAGTGAAGTGAATAATTATGCGATCACACATTATTGTATGTTTATTCTAATTATATTCTTTCGGTAAGTGCAAACTGAAATTGTTAAAAAAAAATACAGCGTCTAGATTTGCGTTTGTGCTTTTATAAAGCTATTTTTCAAATAAATACTGATTTCTGAATTGTATTTCTGCATAGTTAAAACAATAAAAAAAAACGCAAGTCAGAACATTTTTCTTAATTATCTGACATTTTTTAATGGGTATTTCATTTTCAATTCACAATTATGAAGTCAGAAAGTTATCTATGTGATACAAAATGATTTATCTGTACAATATACACCTGGGTTCAAAATGTTTACCCAGGAATTATTTTTTCTTGCTTTTTTTCCGTTTTCTATGTCCACTAGATATTTACATAAGTTACACTGAGTCTCTTGTACTATTTTGTCAAGTGTTTTTGTGGTATACTTGTCCTTTTCTTTCAAATAACGAATATACTCCGTTTCATTGGAACCGATTCGTTTTAATTCATGAGCCAGCAATGCAGCATTGGTGAAATCCTGAGAGTTAATGTAAGTTCCCTTAGGAATATATTGAGCTGCGTCTTTAGGTCCGTTGATAACAGGAATAAGAGCAGTATGTTCTAAGTAAAGGGAATGCAATTTTTCCGTTGTGTACTGATTGCAGATTGAATTTTCGAACGCAAAAAAGAACTTGTAGTTTGTTTCAAACAGGGGAAGGCACTTTGATAATCCCTCATATCTACCGCCACATTTCTTATCACCACATTCGCCAAAAATATCAATTGATAAATATTTACCTAAGTCTTTAACCAAGTTTTCTCTCCTTGAGTGGGTCTTGCAATGACTTACGAGCCACACTGCATCTTTCGTCTTTGTTTTGAGTATGTTACTGTAATTCTTCAAAAATTGTTTTTGGCTTTTTTGGAATACACCATATATTGGCATTTGAATATCGGAGTCTTCCATATAAGACATGGAGAGGTCAAATCGCTCAATCCAATCTTTGGTCGGTCTGGTGGTGTGATACGGACTTTCTCCAGAGTAAAATATCCAAATTTGACCTTTCTTTTTATCGATAACATTTCTTGGAATGTGGCGATGACTGAACACTACAATGTCTGCACTGGAAATATTGTTTGTCAAGAGGCAATTCGGGATGTTGCATAGAGAGCTATTATAGAGCTTGAGATTATTGGCAATATAGGGTTCCATATCAACCCAGATTGTCCGCAATGTCTTTAATGGTGTTGTCCTACTGTTGGGAGCTGAGTCTGTCCGAGTAATCTCAGGGACTGTGTGCTCATTTTGGATCTCCGGTGATAGATATGCTATAATCAGCCAGAGAATAACTCCACAAATAAACAATAGTCTTAAAGTCCGTACTGGACGGCCGGTCTTCATTCTGGAAAAAATTGCTTAATTTGCAATAATAATAAGATAATTAATAATAATAACAATGAAAAGAGCGTGAAAAAAAATTAACAATTTTTATTTTTAAGTTCTATTAAGGTAGTACAAAACATCCGTGGATTCAATTATAACTCATTTCTGAAAAAGTACTTGAGGAAAAAAGAATAACTTTACTTTATTAACGAAAATGAATGATACCCGTAAGCAAAATGATAAGATGTGGTATGTTTTCGTCATATTTTGTGTAAAAAACGTAGGATCCTATATATTGGTCAGCATTCTTTTTTGTGCTATCTAAATGCAAAGTATGTAACAGTCTGAAATTAAATGCAGTGTAACTGTTGATTTATAAACAGTAGAGGGCTGGTATTTGGACACATATATAAGGAGTTGCCATTCTCTGTGTCCTATTAAAGTCAAGGCCATATCAAGAGGTCAAAGAATTTTTTTAATCGTCAACATATCTGAAACCGCTGATTCAATTAATTTATTAATTTAATGGGCGGAGTTAACTCAGAAATGAGATTTCCATTAAACAATGGAACTATACGAGATTCTGGGTAGTATGCCAGGAATCCTTACATGTACGCAAAGGTAATTTATGAACAGTACGCGCATAGAAATTAAAATTATGATATTTATTGGAGAAAGAAGGCTTTCACACCTACATGTACATATATGAATTAACTGAACATGAATATTTAATCACAATTATCGGGTAAATTAATAAATAAATTCCATTTCTTTATTTTCTGTGATTGATACCGTTTCCCATATTTATTTTTTACACAGAAAATTAAACGTGAAATAATTATTTCCCACCAGAATAAGCTTTAAATATATCTTATCATTATATGACCGATTTCCATACTATTGGGATACTCTAAAGGAATTTTCTAAAGTTTTTGGGGCTTTAAAAAAATTCTTTGCTAAATTTTGTCAAGTATTATTTTTCAGTCACAATTATTTTTACTGACATGTCAACTTAATTATCGTTAAATTCTCTAGCTCTTTAAAACTCAGTTTGAAGTGTTTTATTTGTAAATGTTAGAGTGTACATCTGTAAATCACCAGAATGGAACCCTCAGATTATGTTCAAAATTACTAAATCCCAAAAGAAATTCATACACATTTCATTTATCACATTTTTTCGCATTGCATAAATTGAAATTAGAGTCATTGTTTACCAGCATGTTCAATGATGTGTAACGCTGATACAAATACCCAACTGACATGCATTGATTTTCAACCCAAAGGCGATTGAAACCATGGGTGTTGATACCAATTTATAAACATTAATCGGCCAGGTAAACACTAGCTAAACAAAAAAGAAACAAATCACAATTCACGGTATTTTCAAATGTTTTTTTAAATAAATGTACTCTTTTAATAACTTGTTTATAAATTAAAAGCTACCGGTAATTCATTAAATAATTCCCCAATAAGTATTCACATTGTTAATTATGTTATGGAAGAATGGTAGCCTTATTTAAATCATTTAAGGTTTGTCACTCGTCAGCTTTTTTGAAAAGTTACGCAGAAGCTTTTACTTCAAAACTACTTATTAAAATTCAATTTTTTTAACATATCTTAATTCAACAATGTCAATTTTTTAACATTCAAAGAAAAAACTGTTCAAAAAGATACAAGGAAGCAAGATTTATGAGGGACTATTTCTTTTGGTGGAAGGATATTTAGCAGAAAATTCTGCAAATCTGCACATTTATAAAATGTAATGTAATGGAAATATAGCCTCACATTATTTTACTCGGAGAATATTTTCCGTTTTGATATTGCGAAAAATATTTATTGTGAATAGGTCTTAATTTATATTTTAAGACTAAGTTTTACACCTTCCCTCATCAAACTTTTCCAAAAAATGAAAAAAATATTTTAAGAAGTCAAGGTCAAATTTACACCATTTTTGGCCCGAAAATCACATATTTTGACAAATATTTCAAAATTAACATCACTGACCCCACCTTTTTCTTTCATTATTTTAAACTACTCGATACTTGTGACTGATCAGCACTTAAGTCGTAAAAAGTTTGAAATAAGAAAATTTTTTATTGCCTATTAAGTTTTTTAATACCCCAAATATGTTAATTTTTAATGAAAAAAGGTCATACAATAATTTACGCGCATTAATTGCAAGATTTGTTTAATGATAATTCTTATTCAAACTATTTTACTTAAAATAACATTATATTTATTGCCATGCTTACATCTGATAAAACATAATAAGGGTTAAAGTAATTAACCAGAGATGAAATTTAAGTGCAAAAAGGTCAACTTAAATGCACCGTAGATCAGTGGGATGCACACTGACCCCCTATTTTCTTTGCGATTTTGAGTTACACTTTATGAGTACTTATCCAAAATATACTTCTCAAAAAATCATTGATTTAACAAATTTCAAGAGTGACTTACCTTAATACATGTAAATTGTTAGGTTTTATTTGAGGGTTACATGGAATATTTTTTTTAGCCTGGTCCTTGTAAAAGGTTTAGCTTTTTCAATCAAAAAATCTTACATCTAACTGTAATGATTTTCTAAATACACTGTAGTTCCAATGCAAATTTTGAGTACATAATTTTACATTAAATAATAAAAAAGGCCAACATGTAGATATTTTTTCTCATAAACCTGTAGCTTATTTCTAGAGATAAAAATTTTCTCATAACTTCTTTATTTAACAACTTTTTTAAAAAGTTATTCTAAACTATACATTTGTGTAAGTATACAGTCCCTGAAAATATTTATTAACTATAATTATCTCTATCTATTAAAAAAATGTAAGGAATCCTTGCTTAATAACAGTTTAAACTCCTCTCTGCTGCAAGTAAACGAAACAACAGGGAGCCTACAAATTCAGAATACACAAGGGGGCGGAGCTATCAAGTCACTCAGAGCCTCTTTCACATGAGTGAACAAACAGTCCAAGAAAGCAGTCCCAGGGACAACTTGTACTGCTGGGACTGCTTTTCAGAGCAAAAGGGTTAATTTTTAATTGATTGTGGCTGCAGTGTTTTCATACATCAAAATTATTTTTACTCTGAGGTTTTAATGAATAATGTCATCTTTATATAACATTTCACTGTAATTCCTGTTACTGTAGAATTAATTAAAATATAATTATTTACTCCGAATTTAATGTTTTCTTCCAAAAATAAGTCTAATACATCCATGCCATATATTCTTGCGCAGAATGTATACAGAACTGATCAACGAAGTATTATTTTATTAGGTCTTTCCACCTTTCTATGGAAAGACCGATTGATTTTCTTCTGTTTTTTTTTTAGGTCTTTCCACCTTTCTGTGGAAAAACTTATTGGTTTTTCTTCTGTTAATTAGGTCTTTCCACCTTTCTGTGGAAAGACCTATTGATTTCCTTCTGTTTCTTTTTTTTCCTTTTTAGGTCTTTCCACCTTTCTGTGGAAAGACCTATTGATTTCCTTCTGTTTCTTCTTTTCCTTATTTTTTATTATTTTTCCGCCGTGTGATTTTGAGTTTCAAGATTTATCGAAAAGATTTTTATTCCATAAGAATGTACTCTGTAAAAGATTTTTGCAGTTGACCCTGCGTAAATGAACTTGGACCCCTGTCGGAGTTATTACCCCTATTGCAAAAAAGCTTGTTATCGCTACTCCTTCGAAACCGTAAACCATAGAGAAATGAAACCTTCATTAATCTCTTCAACTAATTTAGTACACACTTCATTGATATATTTCGAAAGTATTCATTGACCCCTTCAGTGAGTTATTGCCCCTGAAAGTTTTTGAATTTTACAAATAATTAAAAATTTTCAAAACGAGAAGTCATAGAGACATGGGACCAACTGAATAAAATTCAATGACCTTTGGTCTTGACATTTACATAAAGGTCAAAGGTCAAGGTCATTCCAAAACTGAGAAAGAGCTAAGTTCACGAAGTGCAAAAATCCGCCTAGTCATCAAAATAAGTGAAACTTCCTGAAATTATACTCGAGGATTTGTATGTTGTAAAACATTTTATTTTTTAAGAATATCTTTTCTGGTTTTCTTTTTTCAGCCGTTTCAATTTAGCATTGTTTTCTTATTCAATGCTGTCACGTCATTACGTTGACGTTATATGCTTCAACACCGTGACGTTGACGTTTTGTATAAAAATAACACATAAACGTTTATGGAATAAAATTCAACAATATAGGCCATTCTTCAAAATTTTAAAATTTCAGGACAATGTTTCTATGAATTTTTAAAGAAGTTCTGAAAAATGGATTGTTTTTTTTTTAATTTATAAAATTATGTAATTCAAAGAAATGAGAACCATTTGTTATATATTTATAAATAATGATTGAGTGGAAAAACCGTGGATACATGCAACACCTTTTAAATGAAAAAAAAGGGGCAGATTAAGTTGAACACTAACACAAAGTGTAAATCTATCATATCTGAGTAAAACTGAATTTTTTGTAGTAAAATATATACTATGGTAGTCATGGAGGAAACGGATTTTAATATCCTTAAATGTGTTATTATATTATGGTCATACGGCATACAAATTTAAAAAAAAATAGAAATTTTGACAGAGAATAGACAAGTGTTCTTTAATAACGAAAACATCAAGCTAAAAAAATGCTTAATTAAAAATGAATATGTTTGTAGTTAAATCATCATTTATTATATTGTCATTTAAAGATTTCGCTGCACTTCCTTTATTTATGGCATTTCCTGAACATTTGATATGTATACAGTTTTTACATGTAATACACGAAAAATAGTGACAATATTGAAGGCTATATATGTATTTTACGCACACAGAGCAGTATATATATTTAGGAAAGAAACCACAACAGTAGACTTTTAAACAAAATTGATGTAAAGCAGGCGCACGTAGCATCGTCTTTGAAAGAGGGGGGGGGGGCAGAGAATTTTTTTTTTCACTCACCTGTAAATTAAAGTAGACAAAAAAAAAAAGAAAAAAGAAAAAGACATTGCTCAAACTCAAA